GATCTGATTCCTATGCATACCATCAGGTGAAATCCATGTGTATAACCTGCGTTTATGTCTCTTAAAAAATGTGTTTGCGATGAATAAGTCATGGATTGTGCAAAATTTAATCATGCTATCTCCAGCTCCATTTCTGTCTTCGAGTCCATGTTTTCCGACTACTAATTCTTCTTCTCTGTTCCCAACTTTTGCATTCCAGTCACCCATTATTATCAATGCCTCTTGATTGCACGTTTGAGCGATCTCCGACTGTAAAAGTTGGTAGAAACCTTCTATTTCCTCTACTTTGGCTCTGGTTGTTGGTGCATATATCTGAATGATAGTGGTATTCACTGGACTTCCTTGTATGTATATGGATATTATCCTGTCATTGACAACATTGTACTTCAAGATGGATCTAGCAATGACTTTTTTAACTATGAAAGCAACTCCATTTTTCCTCACCTTTTCATCTCCAGAGTAATATATCATATGATCATCTGATTCAAAATGCCCCATGCCAGTCCATCTCATCTCACCAATGCCTACTATGTCAATATTTATGTGTTCCATTTCCTCCTTAACAATATCTAATTTTCCCACATTTATGGTACTCACATTCCATGTTCCAATCACTAGTGTCTGCTTACAACTGTCCCTCTTCCTTTGTATTTCCATACTCAGTTGCCTTTTCTGTCATTCTACGTGTGTTCTGTTGTACATAGGGTTTTCAAAGGCCTGCTATTTTGGAAGTGGATGGCCAGTATAAAGTAATGGAAGGTTGTCAATAATGAAAATGAAGAAAAGCGTTGATAAATTTTTATAAAAAATGTTCAGTGAAACAGGACAGACATAAGAATATATAAAATTATTTTATCTTACAAGTTCACGCATGTTGTTAAGAAAACAGTGTAAGGTTACTCTTGCTGCAAGAGGGAACAGTGTCTAGAATAGGGCTCCTCTATCGAGTTACCAAATTCCAGGCCAAACCTACCAATGTCAAGTCAATTCTGATGCGTGACCACCCTCCATCCGGTTTCTGATGCCAGCAATCTGAATAGGACACTACCTGCTCTTTTTTCCCCAGGGAATAGCTGGTGATTTTGAACAACTGACATTTTAGTTAGTAGCCCAACCTTTAGCCTAACAAACAGTGCTCCTTGTTCTAGCGGGTGGTTGTTGTTGTTAGGTGCCATTGAGTACAACTTCTAGTGACCCTATGAACAAAAGATCTAAAACCCTGTTCTATCCTGCGCCATCCTCACACATTCTGACACACAAGAGCCCAGTGCAGCAGTCACTGTGCCAGTCCACCTGGTTGAGGGTCTTCCTCTCCCTCACTAACCTTCCACCTTTCCCAACATCATGTCCTTCTCAAAGGAATTACACTTCCTAACAATATTTCCAAAGTGAGGTAAACAATATGTCCAAATGTGAGGTAAAGCCTCATCATTCTTGCCTCCAAAGAGCACTCCAGCTGCACCCTCTCCAAGAAAATTTGTTCGTTCGCTTGGCTGCCCATGGGATGTTCAGTGCTCTTCTCCATCACCACAGCTCAAAGGCGTCATTTCTTTTTCTGTCATTCTTATTCATTGTCCAGCTCTCAGATACATAGCTGGTAATCAGAAAGACTATTGCCTGAATCAGACATAGCTTAGTCCTCAAACTGACATCACTACTCCTCAGTAATGTGGAAAGGTCTCTAACAGCTGATTTTCCCAGTGCAATGTGTCTCCTTATTTCCTGATTGCTCGTTCCAAAGGTGGATCCAAGCAAGATGAAGGTGTTGACAGTTTCAATCTCCTCTCCATTGGTAAGAATCTTTTCTTGATACTGAAGGCTGCATTCCTTGATTTTCTGCAACAAGTGCTTCAAGTACTCCTCAGTTTCAGCAAGCAAGGTTGTGTCATCTGCATAACCCAAGTTATTGATGAATCTCCCTCTAATCTTGATGCCACATTCCTCTTCAGAGTCCAGCTTCTTGTATAATTTGCTCAGAATATAGATTCAACAGGTATGGAGAAAGAATACATCCCTGATGCTCTCTCTTCCAAATTCCAAACCATGCAGTGATCCCATGCTCCGTTTTCACAACAGCCTCCTGATCCAGATATAGGTTCCTCACGAGCATAATCAAATGCTCTGGGATTCCCATTCTTTTCAATGTCAGGCACAACTTGTAATGATCCACACAGTCAAATGCCTGTGCACAGTTAATAAAGCACAAATAGACAAAAGTAAGGTTTTCCTTACTTTCAGCCAGGATCCATCTGACATTAGAAATGATATCCTTGCTGCCACAGCCTCTTCTAAATCCCACTAGAACTTCTGGCAGTTCCCTATTTATGTACTATTCCTGTCATTTTTTAATGATCTTCAGCAGTGGTTTGCTTTAATATGGTATCACATTCAGTTGGATCACCATTCTTGGGAATGGGAACAAACATGGACCTCTTCCAATCCGTTGGCAAGACAGCTGCCCTCCAAATTTCCTGGCATAGACTGATGAGTGCATCGAAGGCTGCATCTGTTAATGGAAATAAGTCAATTGATATCCCATTGATTCCTGGGGCCTTATTTTTTGCCAATGCCTTCGATGCAGCTCCCACTTCCTCTTTCATTACCATTGGCTCTTATTTATATGGTACGTCCTGAAATTTTTCAGCGTCAATCAATTCTTTCTGTTACAGTGACTCTGTGACTCTAGTGTGTTAGTAAGGTGTTATTTCCTAATTTAAGTGTTAGCTGTGTGTTACATATTTGTGAAAATTCACAGCAATACTCTTAAGCTATTTCTTCTGTGTTTCATGTTACAGCAAAAAGTTAAAGAAAGAAATAAAGAAAGTAAAATAGGTAAATAGGGCAAAATATTAACATCTACACAAACTTGGTTGTAGACACTTAAGTACTACTTTTTAAAATTGTGCCTGTATTTTAATATTTTGTAAGTTAACAGAAAAGAAAAAAGTAATGTAGATACTTCTAACATTATTTATTAAGCAAGTGGACTATCATTTCTGCTGAGCAATTATTTCTAAAGATGACCACTTTTCTGACTCACCTGAATAGATGCCTTTGGGAGTTTTCCTCTCAAACATCCCTGGTTCCTTTCTATTCTCCAATTTGTAGTTCTCACCTTTAGAAACTGGAAGCCCTGCATATATTTTTAGAAGGAAAGAAATGGGACTTAGCTATCTATGGTACACACAATAATTTACCTTAGAGCATAAAACTAACACCCTTGACCTTCAGAGAAGAGAGAACATTATAGGAATTTCCAGAGTAAAAGGACAGACCACTAGAAAAAAAAGCATAAAATATTTGCAGTAAGAGTCTAGGCCTGATAAAGAGTTCACCAGGATTTTAAAAAGACACAAATGTTTTTTTGTGTCAAAAAACAAACAAACAAACATGAGTCTTTATTTCCTCCGGAGTGAGGAAATTTCAGAGACCCTGTAGATTAGCCCTTATCTTTGGGAAGATGAAATTCTAATCTCAGAGGCAATACCACAAAACTGTGACTTTAAGAGTGAAATGCTGCTGTCTTCTGATGTTTGTCCTCTCTCCTTTCTTCTAGATATTCTGTCTCACTTTATTAGAAAATCCATTGCATGAAGCTTGGGAGGGCTACCATATTTCACACAAATATACGCATGCCTATGAACACATGCGTAGAACCATGGACACACAATCCAGACACGGTTTGTGTCTCCCAAGCTGTGTGACTGCTTCAATAATGCACACATGATCTTATCTGAAAATCCTATGTTTTCTGAAACTCCTAAGATAAAAAAAATACTTTCTTCTTATTGCATGTTTGGCTAGAAAAAGAAATTAATGCTAGAGTTTCCATGAGCCATCTTTGGCATATGGAAAAAAAAAATCTAAGAATAAAGTCAACATGGGAAAAATGAAAGAAATAGCATAACAGAAAAATGAAAGAAATATCTGATGATAGATTTTATTCACTGCATCATGCTTTCCTCTTAAGTGATATGAATGGGTTTTTTGACACTTGAATTAACCTTGACATATAATATGCATAGACATTTCACCAAGAACACAGGGTAAAAGCAGATTTCCCCCCTCAAGCATAAAGAGACTATAACTTTAAGACTTGTCAACAATAAAGTGAAAGTGAAATAACTTAAGTTATTTTGCTTTCAATAAAATCAAGCAAATTTCAGAGTCACAATGAGAACCCATCCTTACATAAAGAGACCAGGTTCCTATAGTTCTCAAGCATCACCTCCCGTTGTGCAGGATCAAGCTTTCCCCACTCCTCCGGAGTGAAATCCATGGCCACATCCTCGAATGTCACTGATTCCTAAAATAGAAAACATACATTTATCATCTTTCACTTAAAAATCTTTCCCTCTATTCCCCGTAACTTCCCAGAGAATTTATCTGTAATATAAGATACATTTCACAGTGGGAAATGACTACAATATACGTAAAGCATTCTAGCAGTATTCAGATGTGTGATTTTTCTACAATCTTTTTATTTTTTTTTTGGATTGTAAAAATTTTATTCTCTTTAATAACAACAATAATTCCACAAAAATTATACAAAGTACTGTGGTCTGGAACTCTCCAATGAAGTCATGGCCCCCATTGTTGTCATAGTCGTAACATATGACCTGGATGGGCTTCTCCACATCCCCATCACACAGGGACACCAGTGGCACAGTGAAGGGCTTCCGCACAGGATCCAGGGTGTACTTGATCACCTCGGTCCTGTGGACCAGCATCGACTTGCCGTCATCTCCTGGTTTATAAAATTCAAGAAACGGGTCTGATTTTCCAAAGAGGTCCTTCTTGTCCAGCTTCCTGCCGGCCAGACTGAACGTGATGACCTGGTTGTCTGACAGCTCCTGAGCAGCGATCGTAATCAAGCTCTTCCCTGCGGGCTTGTCATTCAGTAGCAGCAGAGGGCGAGTCATCTTCTTGCTGGAGACGATCGTGCCCAGGCTGGAGAACTGGCCCAGGAAGTCGTGTTCATCTAGCCGCATGCTGGACTTGTCCTGATCAAACAGGGCAAACTTGAGCTTCTGCACCTCTTCAAAGTGGTAGTCAAGGACGAACTTCTTGGAGAACGCAGGTTTGAGGTTGTTCACTACAGTTTCTGTCCTATCGTACTCCATCCACCTGCCATCATTCTCTGTAAAGAGGACACAGAAAGGGTCGGACTTGGAGGTGACATCCCGGTCCAGCAGGTTCTGGCCACTCACTGACAGTTCCTCCTTGCACACGCAATGCTGGGAGCCCACAGATGCTGCCCCGGACAATGGGGCAGCCCCACCTGGTATGTAGGCCATGGGGGGGGTGGCGGTGGCAGCAGCAATTCCAGGCAGTCGCACTAGGCGGTCGCCGCTCCCCCGCGCCCCGTCTCCCGCCGACATCCCAGACACTTCCTCCACTCAGCCTGGCCGGGCCGAGAGGCGGCCTCAGGGCGCTGCCTGCGCCCTCAGGGTGCTGCCTGCGCGGCCATGGCCTTCGCGTGAGCTCCCCGGTGCTCAGGGTCCGGTCCTTCTCCCTCTACAATCTTTTTAAGTCGCTTGAGGAAACTACTCATCTTTCTCCCAGAGCAGATGGTGGATTTGAACTGCTGATATATTGGTTAACAGCTCAGCATGTTACAAACTACACCAGCAGAGCACCTTTCTGAAAAGAATGCAAGTAAGTATAAAACTATTTTAGTATAAAAATAAGGTTAATAAAATGCAAAACAGTACAAACACTATGCAAGGCAGCTTGATACATCCTAAAAAAGGTGAAAGAAAAATAAAAAAGCCATTTGATCCAGCTATTCCACTACTAGGGATATACTCCAAGGAAGTCAGAGCTGAGATACAAGCGCACGCGCACACACAGACACAGACACACACACACACTCTCTCTCTCTCTCTCTCTCTCTGTAGCATTATTTACAACAGGAAAAAAGATGCAAGCAGTCAAGTGCCCATCAACAAACAAATGGACAGAGCAATTGTGGTAAATTTATATATTAGGATACTATGCAGCATTAAAAAAAATGACGTTTTATGGGCATTAAGGATATTACACTAAGATAAATGGCTCAGTCACAAAGGATAACTACTGTATAAGACTGCTATTGGGAAAACAGGAAGGTTACTGGGGAGGGAAGAAGTTGGAAAGCAGAAAAAGAGTGTACAGACAATGAAAATGGAAGGGGCTCAGGGGAAGGAAGGATCAGCTTGGAATGAATGGACAAAGTTAGACATGTGCCTTTGCCATGAGCAAACTGACCAAATGAGGAGAGGGAAGAGGAGAAGGAGGGTAGGAAAGAAAGAGGAGGAAAGAAAAAATGCTAGGGCAGTAGAGATTAGTGGACAGATACGTGAGGTGAAGGGATTAGGAAAGTACAGTGAGGACTTCATGAGATGTTGTGATAAAGGATGCAGATCAATTGTAACAAATGGTACAAAATAAAATGTATATGAATGACTGAATGAAAAAGTAATTAAAAAATAAATTATGGAAAATATCTACAGAGAAAATCAATTTTAGAGGGTTGTCTGGGATGGGAAACAAGGGCAAGGGGAGTAAAATGAAATAGTTAAATTAGGTGAAAGGAAAGGCAATATACAATAAAGGATTGGATATTACAAAACAAAACATCTAGGTGTGGTTGTACAAAAATCAGTATGATGTGCTAACTTCCTCTCAAAGAAGAAAACTCCTTAATAGAAACAAAACAAAACAGTGTCCATGAAAGGCTCAATCCACCTTGAAGTATTAACAGTACTAACATTGAAGCATTCAAATGTTAGAAAAATGATACCCTCCTTTCCTGTTCCCGAACTTTTATTATCTTCTACTCACTATCCCTGAGCACAGTAGTCTATGCAGTTTAGGCATTGTCTCTATGCCTGGCCCATAGATGGAATGTGTGTGTATGTGTAAACTCTACAAGTCTGGCCAATTAGAGAATTAATACTGAGATCTGGCCAATCGCAATTAAAAATTGAGCCCAATACTCAGTTAAGAGTTAATCCCAGGGTTTATTCTAGAATGACTGCAAAGGAAGTTGCTCTTTTTCACTGGTTTTCAATATGGGAATATATGCATACAGCGCTGCTATGAGTTGGAACCTAATCAGGTGTAGAGTCTAGACCGACTAGGAACAACACTCAGAAAAGTCTGATTGTCAGCAAAACATATACAGAGAGAAGAAAAGGCTAGGAAAATGGAAAGACTGCTATCTAATGTTACTCCTGGACACTTAACTAGCCAAACATATTTTAAGTTTTGCTCACTTTAGGTACAACTTAGAACTTTATATCTCTTTGACTAATAATCTCTCCATGGCTAATGAAAGATAGTCCAGAAAATAACAGAATCTAGCTGTTGAGTGACTCATGGGTTTCAGTGCTTATTTTTATCATTTACACAGTACTTATGGTGCTTTCTTAAATTCCTACTTAACTGCAATTGGTATGTTGTTTCTCAAGGGAAGTAAAGGTTTTAAAGAGGTATTTACAATTTTTTTAAAACTATTTTAATAGTTTCCCACATTATCATGCAAAGAAACATTCACAAGTAGGCTGAACGTCAAGGATTCTTTCATGCTGTTTGAGCAACAAGAAATACTAGATGAAGTAAGGTGCTGTTGGTTAATAGAAAATATTTTCAATTGATTTTGTCTCTTGGAATTAGAACTTCATTCTCTATATAGGCTCAAGCACACAAAGAAACATCACAGCAAAAAACAGAGATGTATGTCCGTACTGTGAAAAATTAGAGGGAATTTCAGCATTCAGTGGAAACTTGCTCTTACCTGGGATCTGGCTGTTAGGCACAGAGCTTCCACTTCTTCTTCTGACCTCCTCTCTTGGAAATTCTCTTGGAGAGAATCCTGGGAATGCAGAGCTAAGGACAAGAAAGCAGTCAAGATAGGTTTAGAATAATCTTGTGATTAATACCTAAGAAAAAAAAAAAAAGAATCCCACAAACATATTAATGGGACTATCTCTATAGTTCCAACAAAAATTTGGGTTGAAAGGAGTCTGAAAAGCCTCCATCAATCGCCCAAATGATAGAGAATGCCCAGGAATGTTCTACTTGGGTCTTCAATTCAGTTCCAATTATGATTCCATCATTCTAAAAGTTAATACTCTCTGGTTTAGAAATCAGAACAACTTCTTTCCTAGCGTCTTGTTTTGTTTTTTAAATTTTATTATTTTTTGTGTGTGTACCATCAAATCAGATCTGACTGGTACAGGAGGAGACTGCCCCTCCTTCTCCAGCAGAGCATCTGGTGGATTTGAACTGCCTACCTCTGGGATTGCAGTGCAGCTTCTTGCAACTAGGCCACCAGAGCTCCCTTCTTTCCTAGCTTCTTGTTGCTGTTGCTATGTCTCGCTGAGTTGGAACTGATCCATTGGTGACCCTCCCGTGGGTTTTAAGAGGCGGTAAACCGCAGGGGAGGCAATTCCCTTTTTTCCATGAAGCAGTGGTGAATTCGAACCACCTGCCTTTGTGTTGGCAGTACAACTCCTTACCACTAAGCTGCCAGAGCTCCCTACTTTCTAGATTAACCTCTATCAACTTAATATTTAGTATACAGATTGCTAGATCACATCTTCAAATAATTATCCTTAGCTGAGTATGGAGTGAAATGGGTACAAGTGAAAAATAAAAAATTCCAACAAGTGATCCAGAATATTTCTAATGCAGAAAATCATATACCTTTTTTAAAAAAAATTTTTTGTGTGTGTAACTTCAAGTTGGATCTGACCCATACAGGAGGAGATTGTCTCTCCTCCAGCAGAGCATCTGGTGGATTGGAACTGCTCACTTCTGTGATTGCAGTGCAGCTTCTTGCCACTAGGCCACCAGAGCTTGCCAAGAAATCACATACTTTTGAGGCTGTTTTCTCTTTTGTAACCTTTGCTCTATTGAAATCACAGAGCTATTGGTCTGATAATGTGAGGCACAAAGTGTGGGAATTTTTTTCCAACCGGAAAGCTCAATTCTTAAGCCCACTCACAGAGACTATGCTGTTATGTGCCACTAAGTGAAAACCAGCAGGTTTTCAAAGACTAAATTGCACAGGAGGTGCCTGTCCTTCTTTGTCCAGCAGAGCAGAGGGTGGATTTGAACCATCTGCCTTTCGGTTGGCAGTGGAACTCCTTACCCACTAGGCCACCAGAGCTCCCTCATAGAGACTATGCCATTCATTGCCATAGAGTGGGAAACCCCTCATACCAGACCCTTCAGGCTTTTGGTTTGGTTTTGGGTTTGTTTGTTTTCTGACACAGTAAATTACGTGGGAGGAAACTGCCCAACTTTCTGCCCTGGGGCAGCTGGGAGCATAGAGACAAGTGCAACCAACTGTTAAGCATCTTGGAGTCCATTCCGACTCCTTACCACGACTGCTATGTCTGAGTGCACTGGAGCAGCCACCCATGGAGCAGTTGTTATTAGATGCAGTCAAGCATGACTTCTGGGCACCCTATGAACCACAGAGCTGAACCTCTCCAAGACCCCCAGTCCAACACTGTCAGCAATTCTCACCTCTCCTCTCAGGTACTTCTGCTACATCTGTCTCCATGGTCGCCTCTCTATGAGGAAGAGTTCTGAGCTTCACCCAGAGTCGGACCTCTTTGGGCAGAACTGTCAGAAGTCCCCCAAACCGCGCTGTCCTCCCTCCTGCTGGTCCTCTGCGGGATCTTCTGGAAGATTCCGATCAGGTTGGCTTGAGTGCACGCTGGAGCCTGGTTGGGTCCTATGGAGGTGAGGCCTGCGACCTAGGGGCAGCATCCCAGAGGCTGGGCGGGTTTGGTCCGAGGGTCTCGGGGTCTGGAGGAGGTGGCACTGGCCTGGCGCTGCTGCACGGCCAAGGCACAAGAGCGCGCAAAATCGCAGCGCGCTCGGGGCTGTCGCCGCCGCCCCGCCACTGTCCCGCGTCCAATCCTCTCCGCCCGACTATCGCGCACCAGTACCCCGCACGGCTGGGGGGACACGAGGGTCGCATAATGCCTATTTTAGCAGTCGCGGGGGATGGGGGTGGGATTCAGGCCAAAGGGTGAGAGGATGGATGCTGGATCAGAGTCTGCCTTCGAGGGCACTTTGAGAAACGCGCTCTCCAGCCCCAACCAGGCACCGGACAGTCCTTCCTCCCGGCCACCACCCCTCTTCTCCCCCACGGGAAGACCACACTGACAGAGGAGTGAGGATCTCGCAAGTGACCAAACAACTCACCTCATGCCGCAGATCTGACAAAGGCTACGAACTTCTCAGGCCGGCGCGAGTTGCGCATGCGTAAGAAGGAGCCAGCCGAAGCCGGCGAGTCTGTCGGCCTCTAGAACTACATTTCCCAGAAGGCCGTGGGCGGCGCAGACTCAGATGCCCAGTGGGTGGGACTCGGGTGGCGGATTTGGGAGACGAAAAGGGCCGGCTAGCGCTTCCACTGGTCAGAGGTTGAAGTCCTCCACGGCGGAGGGGAGCCCGGCCACTGGATGCTCGGTCCCTGTGTTGTGTTTTCGCGTGTTTCGTAGGCCAGTACTCAAGAGGTCAACCCAAATTATTGTCTTGTGAAGTATCTTAAATGTGTATGGTGTTTATCTCTTTTTTGGTTTACCCTAAATGCATCCTTTGCTGGTGTTGGATTACGCTCTATATAAAAAAAGATAAACCTGGGCTTTCTTGTACTCTTCTACTAATTTAACCACATCAGAGCTTCTGCTTCTAGGTGTGTCTGGTTTGCATCTCTCTTGCAATCACACAGCACCTTCCTACAGATTCGAAGCTGCTTTTCAGATTTCAGTCTCCGGCATAGACAGTACCTGGTAAGCAAGGTAAACTTGTGCTTGCATTTTTCTTATTTACTGATTGTTGTTGTTGTTATGTGCTGTCAAGTCAGAACGGACTCATAGCTAACTCTGAAGGAGGTTTTAGGCATCTGTAAATCCCAGGGCAGCAGATTGCCCATCTAACAGTGTGCCTTTGGTTTGGCAGCACAATTCCTTAACTACTAGGCCACCAGAGCTCCCTTACTAATTGTAGAGAACAATTTTACACTTTCTCACTACAGTTTTTTACATAAGTCCATGTTTACCTTATTTCTGGGGAATCCACCTGTCAGCCAGCCATCAAGAAATGTGATAGATGTACTTTTGAGGCAAAGGAGGTTCCTGATTGTATACTCATCCAAATGTTCACGTTGTTATGTGCCATTGTGCTATCGAGTTGACTCTGACTTATAGCAAACCTATGTAAAATAGCTCTGAACCCTGCTTTATTTTGAGCCAATTTCATCATCTCTGACACACTTACTCATCAATTAGCCCAGTCACTAAGTCAATCCATCTCATCCAGGGTCTTCCTCCTTTGCACTGTCCCTCCACCCTTCTAAGCATGATGTCCCTCTCCAAGGATTGATCCCCTCTTGCAACATACCCAAAGTATGTCAAAGTTTCAAAATCCTTGCTTCCAAAGAGCATCCTGGTATCATCCTCTCCAGGACGGACCTGTTTGTTCTCTTAGCAGTTCATGGTATATTCAATACTCTTCTCCAGCACCACAACTCAAAGGTATCAATTCTTTTATGATCCTTAGTCATTGTCCAGCTCTCTGATGCATAGCAAGCAATTGTGAAGACCATGGCTTGGATCAGGCGCATCTTAAGTCTCCAGACTGACATCATTGCTCTGGTGAGGTCACTGACAGCAAATTTTCCCAATGCCATTCATCTTTTGATTTCCTTACTGCTGGTACCAAGAGTGTTGATTGTGGAGCCAAGCAAGCTGAAGTTGTTAGCAATCTCAGTCTCTTCACCTTAGGTCATGATGCTGCCAGTTTGCCCATTGATGAGAACCTTTGTTTCCTTCATGTTGAGCTTAAATCCATATTGAAGGCTTTAGTCCTTGACCTTCTGCGGCAAATTCCTCAGATCTTCCTGATTTTTGGCAAGCAAGGTCGTGTCATCTGCATAACACAGGTTGCTGACGAGTCTTCCTCTGATCCTGATGCCACGTTCCTCCTCATAAAGCCCAGTTTCCTGGATGATTTGTTCTGCATATAGATTAAAAAGGTATGGAGACTGGATGCATCCCTAGCGTACATCTTTCTTGATTTTAAACCATGCAGTATTTCCTTACTCTGTTGTGACGACTGCCTTCTGGTCCAAGGATGTTGTTATGTGCCGTTGAGTTGCCAGCGACTCATAGTGATCCTATGTAAACAGCCCTAAATCCTGCTCTATCCCGTGCCATTCTTAATGTCTCTGACACACCCCATTACCCCAGTCACTGGATCAATCCATTTCATGGAGGGTCTTCCTTTCTTGCACTGTCCCTCCACACTTCCAAGTATGATATCCTTCTCCAAGGACTAATTGGTCCTGCCTTGCAACATGTCCAAAGTATGTCAGGCAAAGCTTCAGAATCCTTGCCTCCAAGGAACAGCCCGGTTTCACCCTCTCTAGGGTGAACTTGTTTGTTCTCCTAGCAGTCCATTGTATATTAAATTATCTTATCCAGCACCACAGCTCAAAGGCATCAGTTCTTCTTCTATCACCCCTAGTCATTGTCTAGCCTTCCGATGCATAGGTTTCACATAAGCACAATCAGCTGTTCTGGAATTCCCTCCCATTCTTCTCAGAGTTAGCCACAGTTTGTTGTGATTCATACAATCAAATGCCTTTGCATAGTCAATGAAACACACACATTCCTGTCATACTCCCTGCTTTCAGCCAAGATCCACCTAACACTGGCTTTAATATTCCTCATGCCATGGCCTCTTTTGAATCCAGCCTGCACATCTGGCAGTTCTCTGTTGATGTGCTGTCTTAGTAGTTTTTGGATAATTTTCATCATGATCTTGCTTGCATGTGATATTAATGATATTGTTTGATAATTTCCACACTCTGTTGGTCACCTTTTTTTTTTTGGAATTGGAATAAATATCGATCCCTTCCTGTCAGGTGGCAAGGAAAAGTGAAATGAATATAGAAGATAGAGCTAGATTTAATGACACTTTATAGTTATTTGGTTGGTTTTTAAAAGTTGTAGTTTTATCAAGACAGGGTGTTCCATCAGGAAACAAGGTTAGATTGCTCTAATTATGTTATAGGATAAATTTACCACAAACTGATTAGGTCCAAAACTTGAGTCCCAGATGCCCCCCTCCTCTTCTCATAGAATTTATCACTACTCACCACATTGCACAAACCAGAAACCAACATCGTCTCAATTCTTTCTCTCACTGCTTTATAATGAGTTCTTTTTTTTGAATTTTTAAAATTATTATTTTGTGTGCGTGTACCGTCAAATCAGATCTGACTGGTACAGGAAGAGATTGCCCCTCCTTCTCCAATAGAGCATCTGGTGGATTTGAACCACGAGCCTCTGGGATTACAATGCAGCTTCTTGCCACTAGGCCACTAGAGCTCCCTTATAATGAGTTCTTTTTTGTAATTAAAAAAATTATTATTATTTTAAATTTTATTATTGTGTGTATGTACTATCAAATCAAATCAAATCCAACTGGTACAGGAGGAGATTGTCCCTCCTTCTCTATCAGAGCATCTGGTGGATTCGAACCACATGTCTTTGGGATTGCAGCGCAGCTTCTTGCCACTAGGCCACCAGAGCTCCATTATAATTCTTAGCTCTACTATTTGTTCACACATTTTCATTTCCATTGACATTATTTTAGTTTAAGCCACCATCATTTCACTATTTCTGTCTGGAGGCAGAAGAGTCTTCTGCTAAGATAGGACTAGAATATATGTCCACTGAGATGACGCAGGTGTACCATCCCATAATCAGTGATGCTCACTGGCCCAGAAAGCCTTCACAATGGAATCCATCTTGAAAGACTAGTCCCAGACAACAAATTTCCATAAACCTGCCTACATGGGAATGATAAAATTTTGCACAATGATATATTTGTTGCAAATATCTATTCTAAGTAAACATAAATGGCTTTTATATACATGGACTTCACCTAATAACATAGAAATCCAATTGACTATATCTGTGGGGCAAAGTCAGTGGAGATGCTCAGTATCAGAAGTCAAAACAAGGCCAGGGGGGAGCTCTGGTGGCCTAGTGGCAAGAAGCTGCAACTACAATCCCAGAGGTGCACGGTTTGAATCCACCAGATGCTCTGCCGGGGAAGGAGGAGCAATCTCCTCCTGTACCAGTCAGATCTGATTTGACGGTACACACACACAAAAATAATAAAATAAAATAAAAAATAATAAAAAAAACAAGGCCAGGGGCTAATTGTGGAACAGATCTTTAACTGCTCATGTGCAAGGTAAAATTGAAGGTGAAGAAAATGAAAACAAGTCCATAAAAAATAGTACAGGCTAAAGTTTATTCCAACTAAATTTAAAAACCAGCTCAAGATTTTATGCACTGACTAATGACCTAACCAGATGAGTTGTGGGATGATATCAGGAAAGCAAAAGTCATTATAAATCAGAAAAAAGAAAATAGCAAAGTTAATGTCACAAGAGACTCTGAAACTTTCATAGAAGGTTGGAAAGGCAAAATGAAGGGAAGAAATCCCATAATAATAGAGCTGAAGAGAATATTCAGTAAAGCAGTTAAAGAAGAAAAAGCATACTACTACA